TTATACAGGGGGTTCCTTAATGATATGCTAATATTCAAGGGGCCGATTCTTCGACCCATTTCAAGAATACAACTTCATATGAACGTATGTCGTAATTGTCCTAACTTTTGATATACAGGGTGTCAATGTTGAAAATATGCATAGATTATTTTTTGTCCACCCTGTATAGATTTTCGTAATGGAAAAATTCAGTCTGCTATGTGACTGAATTGGTATACAAATTTCAAAATGTTACATACTGTGGTTATAAAGTAATGGATGTCATGAGGCGCGTTTCAAAATTGTACCCGACCTATAACCGTTTAGTAGAGGTCGTTTCAATTTACAGTTGAAGTTACTTGACAGATGCCAAATATCTTTTCAATTTCCATAGGAAGAACATCCGACTTCCAACTATTTCTCTTGCTCCGAGAGGTATAGGTAACTTTTACCCAATCTACGTTTGGCAAGCCGGACGAGCGTTATGTGCGTTTTGGTTTTGTAAGCTTTGCGGATTGAGGTTAGGGTTTAGGATTTCATAACAAAAACCAGTGAGTGAACTCAGTAAAAATTGTGAAGTTCTTGATTTCAATTTTGAAATAATTTTAAATAAATAAATAAATAATCAATGGAATAGAATAAAAAGTTTTTTCTTCGCAAAAATTAAAATGTAATTCGCTGATACAAGTCACATTAATATTGTACCTAGCAGTAACCAAATAACGGAAACTGATACTACTTGTTTCTCAGCATTAATCTATTATCTTCCTCTTTTGCATTGTTTTTTACTCAGTTTAGATCCTACCACTTCCATTAGTCGATCGAAGAAAGTTCTGATCATAGAAAAATGTGACTGAAATTGGTTTCCTGGAATTATGTTATCGAAACAATTTGGAATGTTTGAAAAATTTTTCTGGCACCCTTTGTATATCATTATTTTTCCTCGGAAGAAAAACTACTGTCATCGTGAAAAAATGAATTATAGAGGAAACTGCAGGACCCAAACATAACTATCTCCATTACTGCTTCATTTCAAAGAAAAAACAAAATATACCAAAACTTCTGCTCCAAAGAAATATAGGTTAGACATAATACTCTCTCCTCTTGCATAGACGTTTCAAAATTGATATCAACAGACGTGATCCTGCTGAATACTGCTGACGTCATTTTTTAATCCTTTGTCGAACTTTGGACACATTTTAGAAACGCAGCTCCAAATGAAGTACAGTTGTGTGCATAAACAAGTCGTACAAGCTTTGTATGGTGTAAACCTGCTTATGATGTTCCAGATTTCATCAAAAAGTAGTACACGCACACATTTGCGTGTTACTGCCAAAAATAGTTTGAATTTTGACACTACTTGTCAAAGTCGATAAGAAGATTGACAAGCCTGACTCACAAAAGCCAGTAACTTCTGCACGACTTGTTTATACACAGAATTGTACTTAGACATTAAAATTTGAAGTCTGGTCTCATTTTTCCGTTTTTTCTCGAAAACGAAGCGTTCTATCGAGTATCAACAAGAGGATCTTTTTTGTGCATAATTGAATAGCCTTTTATGAAATTGTATGAAATTTGAAAAATTTTCGTCGTTGCTCACTTTCAAATAAAATATAAACAATATTTTCGTAACGGTGCCACTGGTAGAGAAGAAAATTTCTGTACATCAGAAAATGCACCTTGATGCATAAAAGACGTGTACCAATTTTCATGAAGATGAAACTGAATATTTTTCAAAACTTCAACACCCTGTATCTCAAAAGTTAAGACTATTAGGACATACGTTCATATGCAGTTTTCTTCTTAAAATGAGTCAAAGACTCGCCCCGTCGAATATTAGCATCTCTTTAAGGAACACCCTGTATATTGGTAATATTCCTAATAAGCATTAATAAATCAATTGTCTCAAAATGTTCCCTCATGTGTTGTGACTTATTGGTTATAACATTATACACATTTGTGTAAATAATTATCATATTAATTCACACTAAAGAAAATTTGAGCCGGTAAACGCTCGGGTAAACGTGACAACAACGGCGCACGAATTGTGGACGTGGTCTTGTCAGTTCTCAGCATTCAGCACAATGTTGTCAAGTCTCTAACACATGATATTTTGTTATGGAGTATGGGAAATATTTGGACATGCTGGTTGCTCAAAAAAGTCAAGAATTAACTATAATATCATGGGTTCCTCCTATTATGTTTTATCCGACGACAGGACAACTTTTTGATAACATGATTATAATTGATGACTTGACAACCTTGCTTCATGAGTGGGAATGGAAGATTATCTGACTAACAAAACAGTATGAAAACTGATGTCACCATTTATCTCGCCATTTATTCGACGTATCGCCAAATGGCGGCCATGACGATACGTTTGAAATGAGCTCTGAATTTCAACAATTTCAAACAATGCATAGACTCATTATTCACTTGAAAAAACGTGAGAAGTGTTGCAAAAATTAATTTAGGTCCCTAACTATTACAGTGGAGTAATTGAATGCAAATAATTCATTATTAGTCCACTGGCCCATAATACTGAATTATTGAAGTTGAAGGTTGGCCAATTAATGTTCAATATGACTCGAGATATGTATGTCCAAGATTCATGTCCTGGAATCTTTCAATCTACAGTTGATTTATTATGAAATAGGCTTGATATTTGGATTCTTATGATAAAGCACAATTCCATCACATTAGACATAGATGAAAATATTATGTGCTCATAAATTCTTCAACTCAAAATCTAAATCAAATTACTTGATTGGTGCTAGTGAGTAGTGACAGCATGAATTATTTCAGAACTAAGTTCTTCATGTTTCAAAATATTTGTATCTTTTGCTATCTTCCTTTGATTCCAACTAAAATCAGTCATGTTTCATTTCTCTTGATAGTATCTGTAATTCACTGTACATGAATGGATACAGTTAATTTTTTCTTCTCTTTATTTCTTTATACTAGTTGCGTTTTATTTGGTCCATTCTGGTAACGGTGGTGGGATCAGAATAATGTTTTAATGTTTACAAATAAATAAAACGTGCAACTTCAGAGAGAATTGACATATAGATGATAGAGGTTATATTTATACAGGGTGTCCCAAAATTGCTGGGACACAGAGCTACCACATGTAATATAGGTCAAAATAAGTTGATTGGACCTAATTTATTTATATAACAAAATGTACCGTTTGACGGTGAGACGAGTTCAAAGTTTACATAGAAAAACATATTTTCATATGCTGTCCAAAAATGAGCAAAACCAATTGGATGAAAGTACATTTTAGATGATTACCCTACTTTCGGAAATTAAGTAATCAAAGAAACTCAAACGAAATTGTGGCAGGTTTGAAACCACCCTCACCCTGACATTTTTTTCAGATCATTCTTATATTCTTCTAAATTTTTTGAGCAAGAAGACTCATTAATTATCTTCATTTTGTTACTCTTTCAGAAATTTCTTATTTCCCATAGTTCCCAAGGAAAAAGATGTTTTCTTAAATACTGCTAACAGATGTTCTTAGTAAAAGTTTAATATCATTATAATAAAAGAAATTAGTTGACAGTGGAAACTGAGACAGAATGTTTTTTTTATTATAGTTCAATATGACGCCCACCTCCATCAATACAATGTAAAATTCCTTTGTTTCAACTACCAACAAATTTAGTATTGCAGGTTTATTAAAATTTTACTGGAAATATCTGTCAGCATTATTTAAGAAAACATTTGTTTCCTTAGAAGTTATGAGGAATACGAAATTTTCATAAGAGTAACAAAATGAAGATAAGTAATCAGTCATCTTGCTTGGAGAATTTGAGAACCCAATTACCACCCCTAAGAATGTTCTGCCAAAATGTCAGGGGGTGAGGGTGGTTTTGACCCTTCTACAATTTCTTTTGGGTTTCTTTGATTACTTGCACATTTGTCAAATTTCTCCAATTTGTTCCACTCATTTTTGATTCTGATGGCCAAATCAGATACATAAAAAATGGTAGAGAGAAGTTTTGATTTGTCATTAAGTAGAGTTGAGTATAATTATCAATAAAGTACAGGATGAAGTATGAAATAGATTTGAGCTATGGGATGGGAGGATTTAAATTCTTGATAGTCCATTTTATCATATCTGAAATATATAGGGTGATCCGGCACATTAAACTTCACAATGAAATGGGTATTTTAAAGTGGCCATGCAGTATATTATTTCATGAGTTAAAAATTAAATTGGAAGTTTTTGAAAATAAATAGGTCTCAGGATAGGTATTCCATCATAAATTCATTGATAACAGATATGTCAAAGGACTGAAGATATTGGTCAAAAAACTATTCCACATGCTCTGTGAGTGTTACAGAGAGGATAAGTTGACATATTCAGAATTTTATCACCATTAATCTATCTATAATAAGATGTCCCTCTGCACAAGATTTTTTTAGATAGAAGAATGAGAAATGATGGCACTATCAATGCACTGAGAAATGTGAATTATTAGAGATGTTCTAAATAATCATTGGGTGTATAATAATTTTTATATTGCAATTCAAGTCCCTCTGTAATTTAGCTAAATTTTGCTAAATGGCATTTGTTTTATTACATCAACATGGGATAAATCATCAGACATTGTCAAATCAATAGTTACATTCTTTATATTGTTAGACAATCACTTCATAATTATATATCCCTTTGTCCTTATTCTCCTGATTGTGGAAATACCTAGTCACTATCTTATCAGTGTTACAAGCAGTTTTATTTGCATAGGTATCATAACACATTTATTATTCTGTTTATTGTTATACATATATATCAATGGAATTGAATAGTAGACAAGATTTATCTTATTCCCAATTGTGTGATGATGTATTGTATTAATATGGAAAAATAAATGGAGATATAGGGTGAAATAGCTTCAAATACAAATTGTGCTGGTTGAAGAATAAATAGAATAGGACATGTTTTCAGTCTCTCAGTTCCCTGATAATTATTACTGAGAAAACCTGATAATATGCAATAATAACATAGAACTTACAGTTTATCGATTTTCATAAGTCCATAAAAAGCTCCATCTTTGAGTTCAGTAATTTGGTTTCTTTTCAGTTTCAGAGTGCTCAAATGGCCAAGAGATTTGAAATTCAGTCCTTCTATTACTCTGATTTTATTGCGGTTGAGCTCTCTGAAATTCAAAATGAAAGATCAGTACATTGTTAATTGAAGAAATCTAATTCATTCTGACCATCAGGATGTTGTTTGAAGGCAGGACACATGAAATGTGAGATGTTAATAATATCCAACTAAGTATTTGATGACAATGAGGTTTATTATTATTGATAATGTGATACTTCAATTTTTATTTTAGTACTGAGTATGTGATACAAAGTAATTGGATAAATAATCAGAGAAAATAAAGATGAAAGGATTAAAGTTTACATATTTTTGATATTAGGAAACATTTTTTCCTTCCCAGAAGTTGAGTGACAGATTTCTTATGTACATACATAATTCATGTGTCATTATAAAATAAATGGAAAACATGCATACAAATGAATTAAGCAAAAATCCTGTAGTATTACCTAGGTTTCGAAGAAGTAGGTACTTACAAGATTTTGAGCTGACTCTGGTACTGCAATGCATCTTGAGGAATAACAGCAATGCTATTTTTGTTTAAAATCAATTCTTTCAAGTCAGACAACTGCCTCCAGTTGATGTCAGTCAGTTTTTTGATGGAATTATTCTGTAAATCCCTATAAAACACATGGATATCAATAGATGAATCAACCAAAACATACAAAGAAACAACTTACAAGTGTGTTGCCCATTTTGGGATGTTGGAAGGAATTGTCTCAAATCTCTTTGATGCACAGTCTACATATGAACCCAAGCAAGTACAAACTTTGGGACAATCTTTTGGTTTCGCCAAACATAAACTTATTACGAATATTACGTTAAACCAAAAACAAACACCCACCATTTTGGAAAAAACACAATATTACCCATCATAATTTGTTCAAATTTATAACAGAAACACACTGCTGAGGTCGATTTCGAATCTTTAATGAACTCATAGATTTTCTATGCAGATGATTTAACATTTAACATCAATTAAGATCCTTTCTTGAAAGATAAATATTTATTCAAAATATCCACACAAATAATGGTTCTCATCGATTGACGAGTGTTCTGACTTCTGACGATCGAGTACGGGGTAGAGGTCGGAAAGTATCGATACTAAGTATCGATATATCGATACCAAGACTAGTATCGAAGTATCGATACATTTTTATTTGATATCGATACTGAACATTACTGACACATGACATTATATTTGTCGAATGCCAACTGTCACCTTCAGTTTGAAGTTTGATCTATGCTTATTCACAAGAGCTTAAAGTTTTCGAACTATTCCCAAACCTCATCGTCAGATTGGTCACAGTGAATCATGTGATACATTATGGACGCATGCGCATTGGCTCGTAAATGATCACAGTGGGCTGACGCTATGCTATTAGTGGACCAGAATAAAACTCCCTCTGATAAAACTCAGCCTCCACAATTTTATTGCGAAAAATAATCATCAAAAATCACGAATCTTAGCTTATCAAGTGATGGGAATGGTTCGAAAGATTTGGACACTTCTTAGAATCCATAGTTTACATATATCTACTACTCATATATGAAGCATAGCTGTCCTCAAAGCGGGACCAACTTCATTCATTCTATTCTCTATAGGTAACGAAATCGACCAATAGGCGTTGATGCCGACGTAGGGAAAAAATAATACGAAACTTGTCAAACCAATATGGCTGTTTCCATCCATCATATCCGTCCTTATAAATTCAAAAAGTACCTCTCATTTTGGTCCCATTTTTGATGAGATATCGTATAGGCGATGCGCCATATGTAGAAATAGTACATATATGGATAAAGGTGTGAGATGTAATAAGTTGACAGCACTGATTCACAGTAGCATAGATAATTATACCAGAGATAAGGGTGCTTCAGCAGACCCAGTAGTCGCACTTACTGTCGAGAGACTGTGGGCCCATAGATGTATTCGTTAAAATTTCGTTAATATATGTTCATGCTTGTAAAATTTATGCGAATCGCAAATTTTGTAATTTTCATCAGAACTTGACGTCCATATAATAGTCATGCGACAAAATTTGCAGGAGGTAAAAAAGACCATTCAGTCGCATTTCTCGAACGAGGATGTAAGGCCCCTGTGACACTTGATGTAATTCTATACAAAATTATGTATATGATTTGAAAGTGAATTTGTCAGTGCAAAATTGGTATATAAAATCTTATATTGGTTTGTGTCTTGTCTGACACTCAAATAGAATCAGAGTCAGAGAAGTTTTCAGTTCATCTTTTCTACACTCTCGTTTTTGTCTGTGTCACAGTCTTCTGTTTTCATTGGTCATGCAAAAAATTTTATTTCATTTATCCCAGGCAACCAGATGACATTCCAGTGGGGTCTTTTTTACGTCACTTGAATGACCAAGGTGACGTCAGTAGTTGACGTCGCATGACGTGAAAATGACGTGAATAAGTCACAGCCCAATATGACGTCATATTACTCACGTCGTTTTGTCGTCGTCATTCACTCATCAAACTGTGACGTCCCACTGACGTCATAATGACGTCAAAATGACGTCAAAATGACGATAAAATTTGACGATGATACGTAAAAAGATCCCTTCAACATGGTGTGATAAACACCACTGGCCTATGATCATGCATTGTTGAGTCTGTTTGGTGAGTCCCTCCTGTGTCATGTTCATTCAATCGCCTATTCAGCAGCGCTATTCTTCAGTACGCATCTCCATCAGAATGCATGCAGTTACTCGTATTTGTATCAAATAATATGTAGTTTGTGTCGGTGAGATGTAAGCAGACAAAGAATAGTTTGATAGCAATTAATGGAAAGGATGTTGGCGAATTTGGCAACAAAAATCTGAATAGCAAATTATTGAAATAATTTCTGAATGACCAAGCTCACCAAATTGACCATCTGCGGCTGACGTCACAACGTTGAAGGTCGAACGCTTGGAGAGTAAACAAATCGTGTGGAGGTATTCTGTTCATGAGTTTATAATTATTTTTGCTCTCATTTTACTGCTTTGTTACTGACGAATAAGTTGTTATTATAATGTTTGTTATTTGTATTGTGATAGTCGTGTTGAACTTTTACTGCAGAAATAATTTATACATATTGAATTCAATGTATTCATTTGTGATCCAAATCTTCTGATTTTGGGGCCTTATCATTTACACCTACAGATTCTAACCGAATAATAAGCCGAATTTCCGTATGGTAGTGAAATGCGGCAGTATTGGAATGAGAGACAGTGTCAGATTTTTTAGGATTCCTTCAGTTCTAGTCAATAACAGAAGAGAAAACAGCTTAGCCAATTGAGTGAAGAGCACTACCCCTTTTTGTAGAATTTCTTATTGTTTGTAAAAACTGTACAATCTCTTGTTGGATCAGTAGCATCTTCTTTATGTTCTTCCAATTGTGATTTGCTCAAACCTGGTTTTGTGAAATATCAATGTCAAAAATTTTGCTGGTTGCAGAAGGTTTACTACTTGGAGCTACCCAATAAGCATTCACATCTGTTACAGATTTTGATTTCACGGATGATGTTGGACGAACCAATTTCATGTGTGCAAGTTCCTCTTAAACCAGCAACACAGTCACAATGTACATTTTTCACAGTACCACTACTTTCACATATAATCCAAGGATCTAGGCATTTTTGATTCAGTTTCTGTGAATGCGGAACCTACAAAAATAATAATTACAGTCAATATGAATAATAAATAATTTTGTGTTAAAGTCACCCTTCCCAAAACCACGATGTGTTCACCAACACGTTTGGAGCGGAGGTCTCTTACTCAACCTCATGATGCAGCTTGGTAAGAATCTGAACCCTTATATGCTTTCAGTTGCTCCATACTGAATGCATTTCTTGCAAATACTAGATAATTTACAATATCTGGCTATAAAACTGGTGGCAAATCATAAATTTTCGTGGAATAATTGTTTATGCAATATGGATCCTCATATCCTATGCACGCAATATCTTCCATAATATATATCTTTTAGCATTTATTTTGTTCAAGCTTTTATATTGCTCACTGAATGTTCTCATCATAGTCATTCCATAAAACAGTAACATCATTTCAAAACGCTTTCAAAACACAAGATTGGACTTCCTCAAACTTAAACAAACACAATTTCAATGAGAATGTAATGGAGCCAAATCTTTTGTTTACCCTCCAGGCGAGATGGACACGCCCACTTGGTCACGTGCCGCAGATGGTCAATTGGTACGTCACACCGACGTGATTTTTAGACGTCATAGATACGTCACTGCATATATACATAGCTTTTTTAGAAAAAAGTTTTCTCCGATACTTTTCGGGTATATTACTAATTCCAATAAAACTTGCATGTTGATTTGCTTCCATGAGTTATACTTCTGTTTCACATGATAATATATAAAAGTATCCATGGTTTAGAGAACGTCTGGGAAAAATGGACGTCGACAGGACGTCCCTGCAACGTCATGAATCTGACGTCTTCTCTTACCCATCTAAGTGATGTTCACTCGACGTCGGAACGATGACGTGATTATCACGTCATAGAAAGTACGTCATAGTGACGTCATAAATTGGTGTGTGACGTCTCTGACGAAAAATCACCAATTAGGGACGTCACAGTGACGTGATCATTCGTCATCTGGTTGCCTGGGATGTATGTATCTGGTTTTATTCTTTTTAATACGTTTTCTTTATATTGAAATGCATCCGCTCTTCAGTGCTTATTTTTATAAAAGAGATATTCAACAGTACACAAGGATGGTTTTTAACTTATGAGCTCCATCAATCATCTCACTTGATTTTTAGAACTCAGAACCAAGTCATATATATCATCAGATATTATATTTTTAGGTGAAATCACAAATGATGAAATGAATACAAATAGAATTCACTTCATTTAACTGCTCACTCTCATTAATTTCAGGTTAGGTCGTTCTTCAGCGCACAGGTACCTATACATCAATTTATATTTCATATTTTATAAAAATAAAACATGTTCTATTTCTAGATATGATGTAAATTTCTACGTTGAACACTACAACTCCTTTTTTTGCGACTGGACACTTAATTATAATTGTTGAATATGTTAATCATAATTGTGTACCTGTAGTCTAGTGTCTATAGTCTAGCGTCTAGCCTTTTTTGACGTGAGCATGACGCTCTCTGCTTTACATACTATGAGCAGAGATCAGTCACTCTATGATCTAGCAACAGTAGCAACACAAACGAACAGACCCTTTGAATCTGAACAAACTGAAATATTTCACTAGAACTGAACTGAATCAGTGTATATGCGTTCTTTCAAATGGTTGTTTATATTGCGTTCAATGTTCAAATGACGTTTCTGATAAACGACAATGCATGTCAACCAGTTCAAGTCAAATGTGTCAGTTAGTTCAGAACGAAAGAATGATGAAAGAATATCACTCTTGTTACACTGGGCAGCTCAAGTGCATGAAACAATGAAATAATGAGATGAAACTGAGGTGAATCTGTGGAAAGTGGTTAGTGGAGTGTCAACACTGTTAGTCTGTGGTGTGGTGACTGGAGGGTGCTATCTCTGTTATCACTAGAGGTGGAACGATAGTTTATACTGCCGATAGTTTCGATAGTATTTCCAAAAACTATACTATCGATCTGGAATTTCTTTAAAAAAATATATTTGTCGAAATTTTTTGATTCATTTTTCTCCAGTTATATCAATACTGGTGAAAAGAACCATATCAATGAAGTCTATTATATGAATAATTTAGGCACAAAAGATCAGGAATCAAAATATTTGAAATATTGAAGGAAAAATTAATAGCAAAATAGACATTGACTTTGAGTACCTTAGGCAAGTGCGACCCTGAAGTGAATCTCTGGGGGAATAACGTAGTTTTTTTTTTTTCAGGAATGATATATTAAGTCAGCTGATTTATTTCTATGTATAAATTCAATATTTCTGTCAGTTTTCTTGTTGATTTAATTTCCACAATTTTTTCTCAAGACCGCCCTTGTCTTCATGTTTGAACCTCGATCTCCTGTCACTAATTCGTTTGTTCAGTTATGGAGAAAATTCTTTTGGACTGATCTAGCTGGAACACACAATTTTTTCTAGATATTGTTTTCATTGTTCCAACATCATAATGTCGATTTGAATCTATTCGTCTTGTAGAAATTGGTTTTTCTAGGTGGCCCTAGAAGCTGAATGAGTCGCAGGCATTGAAAATTTTGGACCAATAGTTTATCGATATTATTCAAAAACTATCGATTGTTTCGATAGTGCAAAACTATCGATACTATCGATAGTATTATCGATTGTTTTCCACCACTAGCTATCATCACTTTATCATTGCTTTATCACTTATCATTATCTTACCCATAGATATCTTACCTTACCGGTCATACGTCGTAGTATTCTACTCTACATACTTGAGAAATTGAGAATTTAATTTACATTTCGCATTAGAAGATCGTCGATTTTTGACTGGTATTGAACGTATATCAAGTACAATGAATTCAAGCACACGATTTCTAAAAGTAGACATGGTAAAGTAAGTGAACACTTTTCATGACCTTTGACAACAATTTGTTTGATTTTCAAGAAGACATTAATTACGTAATTTTTTTCTGAAATAATTTCAGGAGTTTTCGTTTGATGTCACAATTGGGAGATCTTGGAAGTGGAGCAGGTAAAGGTGGCGGCGGTGGTGGAAGCATCAGGGAGGCTGGTGGAGCTTTTGGTAAACAAGAAGCAGCCAGAGAAGAAGAGTACTTCTACAAGCAGGTAATTATTACCATAGTAATGTAATTTCTAACAGGTTTTAGTACTTTGTTATCTGATTAGTCATTAATTTGGGAAAGTGTATAGGCTGCCGACCAGTCGGCAAACTATAATTTTTCTCTAGACTGCTGAACCATTCAGTGGAATACATTATTTCTTTATAACAAAACGATCCTTGAGGATTAGAAGCTCAGTTGTTAGACATTGGCTTGTCAATCCTGTGGTCCTGTGTTCAAATCCCACATGGAATTGTGTTTTCTATTTATTTTTTTCTCAATCAATTCTGTTTTCATCAGATTCTTGTTTCACTAATTGGTTAGTCTGTTTGGGTGGAGTATATATCCTAGCAGCATTCCTTCCTCCAATGTCAGTTCACAAGATTAGTGTGTTTTTGTAAGTATCTCATTTTTAAGTTTATTCATCAAATCATGTTTTTTCCTTTAGAATTGATAAGTTTAGTCTACTGGTCGCCATCCTAAAAAGAAGTATAGATTGCTGACTGGTCAGCAGTCTATACACTTCTTTAATTTGGTTGCCATAGTCTCAACCAAAAATAGAATTCACATGTCATCATTTTCAGTTATAAGAAATATAACTTGGAATTATATTTATAGAAAATAGAATAATATATTGAAGTGCAGGCATTTTTGGTTTGGTAAGGTTGGTAGTTGTTTGTGAGAGTAAATGTATGTATTCATTTAATTTCCTGCTTATTCAGACATATAATGTAATATGTGATGTCATCAATGATTTGTGGCCTTCTTTGCCATGCACACACATCTGTGCAATATTAAGGGTATTCCCAGTCCCTCACATATTATATCTTCACAAAATTTATGCAATCTAGATTGGCGAAAGGCTCTTTCCTTTGCTTTTCAGTGTTGTGTAAAATGCACTACACAATGAATCAGCTGAAAGTTGTCATACAGCTACACCAACTGATTTCAAAGGAATGAAAACAAAATTGAAGAGGAATTATTTAGATCATTATAAGTAGTAAATCATGTACCTATTCCAAGGGTTTCAACCCAATTTTATCTGTTCTGGAATATGAGTAATCCATATCTGTCCGAATCTCCCACAAACTACACTGGTGTGAAATGCACTTTGCAAAAGAATACTCAAATACAGTGTAAAGTACAAGAAGTTTAGGAATGTGCTACAATTTTGTTACATTTTTGTTGAAATGCAAAAAATATGAAGACATCTTAGGGTCTTCATATTTCATATGGATTTCTGGAAATATGAGTAGGTACCTACCTACTCATATTATTGGTGATATTGAATGAGTGACAGGTTTTGAGATCCTTGGATTCCTATAAGATATCAAGGTGAACAATAATTTTCAGCTATGTCCACAAATTAACTGTCTTGAAATACATAAACTCCTACACTTTAATTCAATCTTTTTCATTAGATTTCACCAGGCCAAGAACTGAACATTAATTTCATCAAATGATGAATTATAGGCCAGTCAGCAGGTTAAAAAAAGGGGGGTTACATGGAAGTGGGATGTTGTTCAGGGATGCTTAATTAATATTTTATCAAGGTTTGAACCTTTGGTTTTTCCTCAATAACTTTTTTCCTTTCGTCTTAAGGCAAAAATATTTTCATACTTCTCTGTAGAGCCTTAAATTTTATACAATTTTGATTCTCATTTGTGTAGGTCAATTCATTATCATATTTTCCAAATTCGCTAAAATGACAAATATTGCAGAATTCTACGTTATTCCCTCTGTTATATCCGAAATATGATGAAATGTTGTTGTACTTGTGGTTTCTGGTTGAAACCAATATCCTGCTTGGAAATCCACCCTTCTCCCTACCACCACTTCTCCCTTCTTCCATCAAACCAAACCTGGAAGCAAGGTTTTTAGTCCTATTCCCAATTATTATTGTAATTGGGCCTTCCCAATCAGTGTGAAACCAGCCACGAGTTCCAGCCACGACCTCGCCTAATATTCAAGGCGCGCGCCATACCACCAATGGTCGTTCATTATCAATTTATATTCATGGCTGGCCATGAAATTACTTAAACCTCAAAAATATGTCCATGGATGAAACTATTTTACATCAATGATTTTCTCTGAGGGTCTATGATAATCTGTATATCTCACAATATTTTGTCGGGCAAGAATTAACCCCATAGGCCCCCTTTTTCGGAAATTCGAAAAAAATTCATAACTTTTTCAAAATACACGTGGATGGGAGTTTTTTTCTATGAATGTGTTCCTCTGATGGTACTCAATAATATGTATATCTCACAATATTTTGTCGGGCAAGAATTAACCCCACAGGCCCCCTTTTTCGGAATGTCTAAAAAAATTCATAACTTTTTCAAAATACACGTGGATGGGAGTTTTTTTCTGTGAATGTATTCCTCTGATGGTACTCAATAATATGTATATCTCACACTATTTTGTCGGGCACGAATTAACCCCATAGGCCCCCTTTTTCGGAAATTCGAAAAAAATTCATAACTTTTTCAAAATACACGTGGATGGGAGTTTTCTTTAATGAATGTGTTCCTCTGATGGTACTCAATAATATGTATATCTCACAATGAATGAATGAATCTTGAAACTATAATGGAATATTTTGGAGTTCAGAGTAAATTGAACGTGATCTGCAGTGAATTATCAATCAACCACTCACCTACTACATAGTAATTTCCAATCTTTGCAAACCTTGCACCATCTTGCACATAGGATCAATTCAAGAATTTTATAAAGTTCTGGCAACAGTGGAGTGATTCCCAGCTGTCAGAAGTCCAACCAATCAAATGACAAGAAGACACTGACATCACTGCTTATTAGCGTTTGAATTCACAGGTATTGAAATAGCATTTTCAATATCAAATAGTTCATTTGTTGTTAGATTTTCTCAATAGTTATGTGGTCAACCACTCACCTACTACATAGTAATTTCCAATCATTGCAAACCTTGCACCATCTTGCACATAGGATCAATTCAAGAATTTTATAAAGTTCTGGCAACAGTGGAGTGATTCCCAGCTGTCAGAAGTCCAACCAATCAAATGACAAGAAGACACTGACATCACTGGTTAGTAGCGTTTGAATTCACAGGTATTGAAATAGCATTTTCAATATCAAATAGTTCATTTGTTGTTAGATTTTCTCAATAGTTATGTGGTCAGGACAACGCTTTTAACTTCCCCTCATAACATTATATAGAAAATGAGTCAACATTTATGATACTGGGTCAATTTTTTTTGTTTTGTTCAAAGATGAATATAAAAATATGTTGTCGATCCATGCAGTTACTATTCACTACCAGTCTATTTATTATCTACCATTGTAAAAGTTTTCAATGAAGAATGAAAACTAAACATATAATCATGGGCGGATCCAGGCGATGTTTGAGGAAGGGGGCATAGAGAGTCAGGGCTCATCAAGGTTTTTATTTATTTTATTTTCACAAACAGGAATACAAATAGGACGAACCCAGAGACAGTATTCACATATAGGTATACTAAATATGTCATGTTGTTAGGAATTCAATTCCATTATACAGTGCAGAACTTAATATATTTTTTATGAAGAAGAAAAATTTTCAATATATCATCAATTAGATGCTGGAACAAAATGTTTCTTGAGTTTGTTCAAGAGATTGTTAAAGAGTCGGAAAAAATATCAATCTCTATTATGTTTGAATTGGAGTTATAACTTTTCAAGCATCGATGTAAAGGGGAGTTGAGATAGTAATTTGTGTTCGGTATGGATGTATGGAACAAGTTATAATAGCGAGTGGAATATTGTGGAACATTGAAATGGATCAAGTTATTTATAGATGAGGAGATGAAAGAGAATTTGATATCGGCGATAGCTCTTCTGTCAGCCAGACTAATCAAATTAGGTTTTCGAATTACGAAGTGATTTTGTGGCGTGTTTTTAAAATATTTTTTGTTGATACAAGCAATGAATTCATTCGGAATACTTTCTATTTGTTTGGTGTCTATTATATAATAGGGATTCCAAATGATTGAGCCGAAGCCTAGCAGACTATTCACGTATGACATGAGAAGAGTATGCAATGTATTATAATCTTTGAAAGGATACGTTGTTCTCAAAATGAAACCTAGCATTCTGTTCGCTTTCTTAGAAATGTAAGAAATATGTTTATTGAAAGTCATCTTTGAATCAAATATAATTCCCAAATCCTTCACTTCACTACATATGTGGAGATAATGATCCTGTATGGTATAGTAATGAGTAATTAAATTAAAGTTTCTACTAGAAGTCATCAGATGGCATTTGTTGAGATTCAGGAAGAGAGAGTTATTTCTGCAGTACTCTGAGAAGCGATCAAGGTCCTCTTGAATGAGCATACAATCATTCAAGTGTGAAACTGTATGAAATATTTTAAGATCATCAGCATACATAAGGAAATACGAGAATTTTAAACATTCTGAGATGTCATTTATATAAATATTAAAAAGTAGAGGACCTAGATGTGAGCCTTGAGGAACACCCGGCGTTATATTGACTGATCTTGAAAGATAATTACCAATACAAACTGTCTGATCACGATTACTTACGTAAGATTGAAACCAATTCAGCAGGTTAGCAAGAAAGAGTTATTTTTATTGGTGCCTTCTGATTGCAAGGGGGGAGGGGCTTGGCCCTAAGTCCCCCCAGCCCACTTTGTCTATCCCGTATTGTCCCGCTTTGATCCTAAGGAAGTGCAGCCCATTTTCTGGAAACATCAGCAATATAATAAACCAGAGATACCTACTCGCGAATCGGAATAGGGCCGGTTATTTGACAAAACAATGGGTAAATCATCCCTCTACTTACTTGAAATGAGACACTAATATTGACTAAAGTTGATAAACCAACAGAAGGTGAGCTAGGTGAATTGATGAAATAATTGGCATATTTTAATTTCCATTCGTTCCTAATGTGGGCTTGGCACTGAATTTGATCTGTTTTCTGGGAGTCCCCACAGTATATTATACAGTGCTGTGCTAGTCATGATAATTTCCTCTTCTCCTGCCTAATGAATTTCGACACCCCCAAATATTCATACAAGTACCAATTTTCGACAGTTAATAGATTATATATGATCCATTTGAAAGCAAATATACTACAATACCTGGAAAACCATATCAACATGAGTTGCCAAGCAAATTTTGCATCAATTAACTCGTCAATTAAGACTACATTTTTGACATTTATTCATTATTCTGATGCTTCATTTTCATCTCAGTATCACTTTCTGAAGATTTTCTACATTTTTTCAGCATTGAAATATAATAATGATGTCTATGTCTGTAATGATGCTGAAAGAAGTACTCTGTAGGTATCAATTCTCTGAGAATGATAATAAATTTTCAAGGATATTTCACTGTACCTATGAAATATGGTACAATCCACTGTGTTTTTAATCCAGTCTTTGACGTCAGCTCGTTGGCTCAGCCTCGCACATGACGCAGCCTGAAGTCATAGAACTCCAAAGACCACTTGACATATGCATGAACTACACTGACGTCACCGCGTTGCCTTCTAGGAATTTACATTGCCGAATAGAGATTGAGCCATCTATGTACAAATGCAGTTGAACATCCTTAATAATAAACTGCCATTCAAATGAATCTAACCTTGCTCTATCATATAGTCGAGATACTTCTACGCCCTGTAACTGTTGTCAAATCAGTGGAGTAAAACATACCCATTTCGAACGCAGATGAGTAAACTCTACTTCGCAAATGAGTACTCTCTACTCCGTGGAGTAAGTACATACCATACGCGAAGAATTCGGTCGCGTTCGGGGCCAGCAGCTACGTTGTAGTTGGGGGAGGGGCTAGCAGCTACGTAGGAGTGGGGGATTATCGTCGAGAGATCTCTGGCCGGCTGTTAGCGGAGTGGCTTGCTTTCTCCCTCCCATCAAATAACGATATCGCACGAGGTTATGTCCTATGTAGATAGTAGACGCACGGAGTTGAGCCACAGTTTCTACTGTTGTCACGTCATCATTTTCTAAATGTATTCGAGATTTTCGTGGATATCAATTGAACAATCACTTGATTTCAGCAAAGGGAACAGTTGCAGAAATTGAAAAATGATCTAAAGGATGAGATAAGCTTTCATGAAGAACAAATCAAGAGACACCAAGAAGCTATTTCTCGCCATAATACTAGAGTTAATGAATTGGATAAAGCACAATAGGAACTTGGCCATCACTTAAATACCCATTTAATAGTTTTTAATCACAAAGTGAAATGATCATGTGTATAATGTAGTTTTACTGTTTCAGTGCGAATTTTTCTGTTAATTTTTTGCAATAAACTTGGACTGTTTTAATCTGATTGATTTCTTTATAGTTTAGAGATTAGTCACCCTAACCCTAGGTATTTTTTTTGACATCCTAAGGAATTAGGCTTCCAAATATGAGACTTCCATAAGGTGGTACTTCTTGGTTATATGACGACAGAAAGTGAAGGATGGGAAGCGGCGCCATACAGTGAACTTCCTGATTCATTTATTCAGGATTTATGTACCTAACTATTGAATTATTTCAAAAATCATGACAATTGCTTGACAATAAAATATTTTCAAACTTATTTAATTATGAGAAGATGGCTATCCTTTCCTCCGCAAACACTAGAAAAGGTAATGTTGAATGAATAGAAACGGAAACACAAATACGAACAAGTTGTACCTACTGCTCAAAAGCTCAAAGGAAACCACTAACAACTTTGATACTCTCACAACAAATACTTATTGCAGATAAAACGTCACAAAACTATTATAAAAACGCAAATGTTCAACATAAACTCAAATTTAGGGAAGAGCACTAAAATCCATTTCGAAAATTCAAAATTTGCGGACATATTTGGCCCCAAATTCGATTCACCCAAATTTCGATTGACCCAAATTTCGATCGACCCGAATTTCGACGTAATATAAGGAAGGAAAATATTCTATTCTGCATAAGGAAGGAGACAACCTTTTCAAAACTGATGGATCGAGAATTGGGGGAATCGAAAATTTGATGAATCGAAAATTGGGTGAAACGAAATGTTGGCTCAACGTCATATTTGAATGTCAAATGATTGTTGATGATTCCCGTTTCATTGAATCCCAGGAAATGTGGCATTATTTGACAACAACGCATCTTTCGAGTATGTTCGGAGACGGTGGGTGAATTGGGTGAATCGAAAATTGGGCGAATAGAAAATTGGGTCAAACGAGACGTTCCCCTCAGTTCTTTTGGTGGTGGTATCTCTACAAACTGTTATTATTCAGTATCGCAACTCTTCTCTATTTCTTGGTCTGAATTTGGAACTCTGTAGCCAGATTACCCTGTCTACCGTCATGTGTGGTATTATTCAAATTCTTGAAAGAATTATTATTCTCGATAGAAAATAACACGTCGCCCCATCTGACGGCAACAATTTGAACACTTCTGAGCGGTTTGTTTTGATGGTATCACCAATATGCACAAACAAAAAACGAATGTGAACCAATAAAAACGAAGTAAACAGGCCGCTTTGACAGCTTTCAAGAACTCTGAATTGATTGCTATCAAAATTTTTGAAAAAATGCCTAGTTGGTGTTCTTCAATTTTGTTTTTGTGATCGCACTAGGCTAAAAAATTGTGATTGATATTATTTTTTGCTCCACAAAGTAGATAATTTTGAGTACTATATCATGAGAAAAATCTCAAATTGTAACAAACTGTAAAGTTTATGCAAAGTCAGTTGAACAGATCATCAAACGAATGTCGGGCCGTGTTGCCGCACACTGAACTTTCAAAGGGGCCGACGGCTTGCGGTGATGTGTTTTGTCCATATACGTATTAATAATCAATACGGATAATCTCTATCTGTTTCCATAGCGAAACATGAAGCCGATTTTTGAAGACAAATGACTATCCATAAGGAAAAGTTTTGAAACGATCAGACACATACTGCTTTGATTGAAAGGCTAGTAAACGTCATTGTCCACCGAAACGCATGTCTTTGATGACTACTATAATAGCGCATGGCGCATGCGTATCATGCCACCAAATCCTTATGGATATTCATTTGTTTCATATTTTTGGCTTCATCCTGGCACCCGTTATGATCCGTATTGTTTATTAATACGTATATGGTTTTGTCCAACTGACTTTGCATAAACTATAATTACTGGATGAACAAGTGTTGGTATCCTCCATAAAGCCCCCTTTGGGCCATGAGCAATTTGCCCTTCATTATTTGTAATAATGTAAATTCTATTGTATAATATCATGTTGCCTTCTTTTTTCCACTTCCACAAATTTACTTCTGAAAATATGCTTCTGCTGGATGGACTATTGATAGTCCGAAACATGTTCAGACACTGATTATCCAGTTAATAAATTTGTGGAGATGACTTAGTGTGTCTTGCTTATGCAAAATCACTAGCTCTGAGCGAACTCATCGTTCATTGTGAAGGGCGTGTCCCAGTAAACACAAACATCCCTGGGATGTCACATTCATGTCGGGCTAGATAACAATGCGCATTACAAGAAAACATCATTGGTATTGCTAGGGGACTCTTTGTTTTACAGAGCATTGGCAATAGTCGTCGCATTTTCTTGGATTTGAGACTCAAAATGCAGGTGAATTTGTGAGGCTCCCTATAACAACCAGAAACTCACTGGAACCTCACATTCTTGACTATTTATGTAACAAACGGAATCAATTGATTTCGATGTTGAATGAGGAGTCGCTCAATACGTACTGTGAGTTTCATTTGGCATCATAATGTGAATCATATAAAATGGCCAAAAGGGTCCGGAATAGCAGTCATTGTGATTTCAGTGAGACTCTCATTTGGAGTCACGGATGTGAGGTGTGGCATGAATGTGATGCTCCTCTTATATCTCTGGGATCGATCTGTGTTAACTGGGGTCATCTGGATCGAAACTCGACAGCCTAAGCTGCGATGATGCTGCAGCGCATAGCCACCTTAGCACAAGCGCAGGGACTGCTTGTGGATGTGCTGTTGCAGGATGCGACTGAGCCGATGCCTGTTGTCGGCCATTGTGGATAGCACTTGCATCATTTGCTGTTGAAACTTAATATTACTCTGGTTCTGTAGTTCCCACAATTTTAAAATTTTATCGTCCACATCGATATCACAGATACTTTTGTGTCCGTCTAACACGTTTTCACCGTCACACAGTTCACCAGCGCTAACATTGGGCGCGGCTTTCTCGTTGCCGTCAGCCATTTTTGTGATCCGAACTCCGAACACGACACAACAAATCTAAATATTCAGGTCCTTTCTCCTTTATATTATCACAGAGAGGACATTCCACTTCTGATGTTAGCTTTTGGTATTAGAATCTAACGAATAATATTCCAAACTCCGCAAAATCTGATATGTTCAATCTGACCAATTGTATACGGATACAATTAATGTGACATCTGCATGTTGCTGGTTCATTAGTGTTCGACGAGTGGTCGAACATAAAACAAGCATACGCCATGTTCATCTTATATTATGTGATAGTGCTCGTGTTTATTGAATTGTGATCATAAGCCAACCCTTCCTGAAAATGAAGAATAGATTCCATACTAAATGAGAACTTTATTTGAATATTCAATAAATAATCATAACCAAACCATATAATGTTCAAGCGGAAAAATATTGATTTATTTGATACTTCCTAGGGTCTAGGGTCTATATCTTGTAAAAACCATTCGAGCATAAGAAATGATCGTGTTACAAGTACACCTACCTGAGTCATCCTGGATTCATATTTCAAATAAAATTCCGTGTTGACTCACCTCATCCAAAATGTCACCAAAGGGTATTTACGTACTAATAATTATTATATCATTCCTAGTCGCTTCATTAGGGCCTAGCCATAGCAGCACGATATGGAAAATATTGCCACGGCGGCTAGTGAAGAACGTATAGAATTTCGTAGTTTCATCAGAAGCGTGGTGGTCATTAGAGTAGCGTTCATTCTTCCGGAGAAGGCGGTAGTGCTTGAGAAGCACTTTCAGAAAACATGTAACATCAATAAGAACCCAACAAGTGCGGTCCAGGAAGACATGGTGGCAACGGCGGCAACCATTATAGATCGCTACCCATCATCCCGCTCTCGGGGCAAGCCCTGGGCAAATCAATAACTTCCCCAAGAGAAATCAGTGAAATCATCAAATAAGTAAATATTAATAAATCACCAGGGCTTGATGGACTTAACATGATTCTCCTTAAAAACATGTCTCGTAAAGCAGTAGTCCAACTACAGTATGTCATAAACGCCATCATAAAGTACCAGCACTACCCAGAATGCCTGAAGACTGATGGGCTTGTTGTACCCATTCCTTAAAAAGGTAAAGATTTAAGATCCACTATAATGGCTACCGCCCTATATCTCTGCTCAGTGCAGTAGCAAAGGTCGTGGATAAAGTCCTCTTACGACTCAAAACACGCTACATCAAAAAGCTGGACCTTATTATACCAAAAGAACAATTCGGGTTCCGCAAGGGACACAGTACTGTGTCCCAAGTGGCCCCAATTGCTCATGAGGTAAAGGAGGCCAGCAATAACAACAAAAACACTGTTTTGGTCATGATGGACATAGAAAAGGCCTTTGACACCGTCTGGCACGAAGGTTTAATGTACAAGGCTAAAGTGCCGATTTTTATCATCAAGGTTTTTGATGCATATATCACCAACAGGAAAATCCGAGTTGAGGTCAACGAAAGTATATCGGGGGATCGCCTCTCACCTCTGCTATACACCCTATATACGCATGATTTCCCTGTATTCGAGCGAACGAGTACAGCATTGTACGCATGTAGATGATATATACTGCGATATATGCTCACTCGTTCGACTCGGATATTGCCAGACAGCAAATCCAGATACATCTGGACAGGGGAATCGTGCCTTACTTTGACGAGTCAAAGAACTGTATAAACAGCACGAAAACGGAAGTGATTAACTTCCACAAAAATGCTGCACAGATCTTTGACAAATCTTTGACCGTCAAAGGGGTCGAGGTGACAGACACGTTCTCCGTGAAATATCTGCGGGTTAAGCTGGACACCCGTATGAGTCTCAAGTCTAATACCAAATATCTAATACAAAAAACTCAAGGTGCCATCAAGAAGATGTACCCGCTGTTATCCAGGACCTCTCCACTATCACTGGAGAATAAGGTCCTGGTGTACAAGCAAGTTATTATATATTAGACATGTGATGACATACGCGTGCCCGGTGTTCTGCAGCATCCCACCAACGCACATGAACAG